ATCAAAATATATCAAAATATGATAGCCCATTAACTAGAGATATATCACATCTATAAACCATAGTGCCATAGTGAAATTGGAGTTATGTTCAAAATTACTGAGTTCGCGATTCCGAACCGGGGCACCACCTTGAATGATCAGCCTACCACTGGAGGATCATCCCAATTCCTGGGGACACCCCACCACCAACCAGTGATTAACATCATCTCGTATGCAACGTTTGCTTCTTGCATGAATGAACCAAATAAACACAAAACAAACAAACAAACTAACTAATGAACAAACTAACAAACTAACAAATTAACGAACTAACTAACGAACTAACCAACTAACGAACTAACTAACGAACTAACCAACTAACTAACTCAATCACTCACTCACTCACTAAGTAGCTAACAGACTCAACATTCACCAAATCAACCTAGACTCAGGAAGAAATATAAACTTAGATAATTCGTAATTCGTACTATTCATAAATAACTACTAGTAACAAACTAAAAATCAACAATAAAACAAGCTAATAATATACAGTTACTAATCATCACTAATCAACTCAACTATTAATATGACAGTCCTCAGCTCCCCATTTTATGGGGAATATTGATACCCCTAGCTCCTTAGCTTCCTCGCAACCACTGGATCACTAAGTTAAACCATAGATAGTAGCAATTAAGTGTAGATAAAATAATAAGATAATTACTGTAAATAAACCATATAGGACCATGCGGCTTAATTCCCATACTCCTAGGCCTTAGGTAAATAGATAACTAAAAACCGAGGTATTCTAGCGTTCTAAAGTGGTGGTACCCAAAAACCATGGCTAATATTAAGTCATGGTCTAATGACTTGGAAGATTTGGGGTACTCGCATCACTTACGAAACCTCAGGAGTAAACTATAAGACTATATGGTTACCACTGTTACCATTGTTGCCACTGTACCGCTTGTGGTGAAATCCCATTAAAAAACACAGCGCTTCCCGGTGAAACCTCCACAGATCAACACCCCGGCGCACGGCAATATGAAAACGTCCCGTCGCCTCTGCCATGCGATAGCCCAACTCCTCCAGGACACAGGACTCGGTTGTTTTTCAAGGAAAGACCCACGTTTTGTTTGATCGAAAAATACGGGAACCCCCTGGAAAACCTACAGGTTTTTAGCACTCAAATCCGGTAAGTTCCTCCATGTTTTGGTGATGAAATCCAAGTTGTCGTGGTTAATGTTGACATGTTTAACCATGTCATGTGAAAAACCATGGCGTGCTTGTGAAGTTTCCAAAGGGAGCTCAGCACTTCTGGATTGCAGGTCGGTCGTTGAAACCAGTTAGTTACAGTTAGTTGGGATCATTTGCCCTTTTATGTGTTGGACACTGAAGAACTATGAACGAAACCACCACTTGCGGCACCTAAAAAAAATCATAGAAGCAAGAAAGGGGCTAGCGGCTATGTTACTATCCACATCTCACTGGAGCAGGAAAGCATTGGCTTTCATTCATCAAATCAAGGTCTTCCTGCATGTTTTTCTTTTCAACGTCTGATTTGTTATTTTCTAGAGAGATTGTAGCAGGAACTCTACCGTCCAAAGCCATTTTGGTTTAGTATATACTGGAATATAGTAAATATTTTCAGGATATGTAGACCTGCTCTAGGCCGGCTTCAAACTCCAAATGTGACCAAATGAGAAAATCATAGAAAATCAGGATATTCGCTGGTCATGAGCCCGCTTCAAGGGAAAACAAGGGGTTCCCCATGGTTCCTCTCCTAGTGCTCGCCAAATATATCTAGTTCTAAGTTCTGGCATTTTTGTCATTTTTTGAGCATCAGCATTCATTCAACATTTCGTTTGTCCATCTCCAATTTGTCGGGAATGCTTCCCATCTGCTGGAAAACACCCAGGGCATCCCAGGGCCGTGGGTGTAATGCCTCAGTAGTCCTGGCTCTATGCAAACAACCAACTGGGAAATCCCAAAAATGTCTGAGAAAATCCATGATCATTCAATATTAAATATCCATAAATATCCCATTCGAAGCCCCTGTTTAGTATGGGAATGTGATGGATATAGATAGATGATGTAGTCTTTTGTGGCAGTTTTTTGTGGGTATTTGATATTGGGGGAGGGAAAGGGAGGGGAGGGGAGGGGAAAGGTTGATGGCATGTCTTATAAACTAATCATTAATAACAAATAACAAAACTCACATGATGTTGATCTAAAATTCATTAAATTTCATGAGCAGCTTTAGGCCACACTGCACTTTCAAGCATGGGTGGGCCTCTTTGTCTGTTGCCATCCAGCCTTTTTTGTGAGAAAACTGCTTTAACCCCCAAAGCCTGAAAACCACCGCGAAGCCAGCAGTCTATAGTCCTTTCATGTCCTTTTTTCCGTCAATATTTCAGGGATGGGATTGAGTGGTCCTATGGTTTAGCATGTTTAGCAGCGAGGTTAGCAAATTACTTGTGCTTAGAGAGATTTCAGGGGCTATAGATCTTGCTGGTTGGAGGGTAGTCGATGCGCTTCTTGGGAACTGCCCAAACAGTGTCCTGCTGGGTCGCATGTCTGTCACCAATGGTGTAGAAATAAAAACCTCAGGCAGTGAAGAAACAACTGAAGCCCCCGTTTAGCCGTTTAGCCATGACCACAGAGATACCTAGTTTCAAACACTAGAGAAACCGTATGTGAAACACGAAGTTTCTGGTTGACGCTGAAAATACCTGAAACACAACACGGCCGACGTGATGTGCAGCCGTGGAATGATGTGGAATGTGCTTTCTTGACTGGCAAGCATTCAAATATAAGAAATTCTTCATGTGTCACCTAGATGGTTAATTAGTACTTGTTTGAATTGTTGAAATGTTCCCTCTGCCTTTGGTGCTTTTCTTGTCCCATGTATTCCTCTTCAGCGCTGTGGCATACCAAACTTCACTTTTTTGGGGACTCAGAAACCTCTAAAATACTTTGAAAAACCTTCTTGACTCCCACTGGGTTTATGTGCAACATTGTTCTACCCACAAACATCTTCAAAATGTTTAATTCTAAAAGATGATACACACAGTATGTCATGGCCGCCATGGCCTTAACAATTTTGTTGGTACTGTATACGATCGCTGCAAAGTGCCACCCCTTTTTCCAGTGAATGGATAGCCGTGGCTACCGCAGAACCGCGGCATTTGCCTTGGCAGCACCTGGCATCCTGCCAAGATATTTGGAGCAATGGCCAAAAAAAACCTCCGGGCCCGGCAACCATTTGAGCTTCATTTCTCAAGGACACACAAGAAAAACAACCAAATAGATACAAATAGGACAGGGTTCCTTTGTTGGGTCCCTCATTTCTTCAGTTGATAAAAATTCCCAGCCATTTGTTTGCCAATCATGCCTTAAAAACGGCCCATTTGTTTGCTAAAGAATTCAGCCACTGCTCATGTGGAGCAGTCAAAAGACTTGCTGTCGCAATGACCGCGGACTGTGGTCACTGGTTTACCCTCCGGTGGTTTCACAGCTGTGGAATTTTTGTTGCCCATTTATAGACAACATTTCTATACCCATTGCAAAGGCACATGGTGATTTTCCATAGCTATGTCATATATTACCAGAGGGATCTAAAGGGTGTCATGGAAAAGATGGCCATAGATGGCTCATTTACGGACAAGTATAGACAAGTTGTAATAGTTTATCTACCTGTTCAAGAAAATGTGATTTTGCATTGCAATGATAAATTTCCACAGGGTAAGTGCCGGGTTATCATCTCTGGCTCCTTACGACGGGAGATACTACATGGGGAACGGTCTCCTGGGTCTCTTTGTTTATCCTGACCCGTACCCATGATATGTCGGAGATGGTGGACCTCCAGTTGTGCCCTGGTTTTGATTGATGGTCCCCACTATGAAATGAAAGGCTCAAATTGGCAGCTTCTACGTCTGCGTAGAAGAATATGCTGTCAAACGCCAGCAAATCTTCCCAAAATGATGGGGTAAACCACAAGCAAATCAATGGGGATCCATCGTTCTACCGATCTTTGATCATGTTTGTTTAGACCCCTGCAGTGCAACATCTCCTCAGCATCAAAAGGAAGGGACGTCTCATGTCTTCGGCCATTCGCGACAGCAAACATTGAAAGATGTCGAGTCCTGTGCGATGCTCCTTCAAAAGATCACGGAAGCTGGTGAAGGCGGACGTGTCTTGCAAGAATTGCAAGTTCGGGATAACTTTTAACTTGGTTTAAATTATAGTTGTAACATGTTATAGCTGTCAGACTGTATGACTAGTTATGACTTTAAAACTTGTTATACAGTATATATCTTAAAGTCTTATAGTCGGTCAGATTCATTCATCCCGCAACATCACCTCCATAGAGGCATCCCTTCCTCGATTGGCCCACCAGGGAATCTGATGTATTGTTGTTTCATAAGAGGGCCTTTCATATAAAATGGGAAAGGCCGTTCATACAAAAGGGACACCTCCAATTATGTGTATATCTATCTATCTATCTATCCATCCATCCATCCATCCATCTATCTATAAATAGGGCCTGGAAATCCCCAAAATACTATACCCCATTCATGAAAAGGGATCTAAAGGGACATCTCCAATGATATATCTCCAACAAAAAAACGTCCAGCCACCAATTGATTTGGAGAAACCTCCCTGACCCTTTGCTTGGCCCAAGGATTGAGGCGTAAGCTACCAATTGGGGATGACTCTTCCCAATTTATTTTTGGGTGCACCACATTAATCCAACCCCCAAAAACCTGCCGCAAAGGGGCCCCCAAAAGATAGAACCACTTGTCCAGGAATACAGATGCCTACTTACTATACATTACTTACCTATAATTACCTCAGAAATTACCGGATTCCAACTTTCTCTTTGGGTTTGCCGAAAATATCGACAAGGTGGTGTCCCCCAGTCATAGGTTGATGAGACCATCTAACTATAGATCTACCAGACAGCCTAGTTATTGAAGTTATAAACCCACCTAGCTAAGTATGTGGCACCACGCTGGGCGAAATGCCCACGAATCATGTCACGCCTTCACTGGCTCCCTCATCGCTCAGCCAAGAGAGGGTGGCATGTTCAGGCTGGGTGTCCTCAATTGGAAGGCAAAATGTATAGGAAACCAAAGGGAAGAGATTGATTTTCCATGATTTTATCTTGCCGTGATTCCTGTAAACTTTCCCTTCTACCAAATCTCGAAATTTCAGTGCAAACTGATCTTTGCTAATCTTTGCTACGTGTCCAGTAGGTCAAATTCATCCAAACATACACATCAGGAACCAAGGTCAACCCACTGCAAATGTGGTTTTTGAACACCAACAGCAACAGTAGTCCGGTAATTAAACCCAAAACCCAAAACGTTCCCACTTTCACCAGACATATCTTGTTTCTTCCCATCCTTGACCCTCCTGGGGCTTGTTTTCTTTATCCTTAAACGATGCCATGTCAAGGGTTCCGTGTCAAAAAAATAAGGGATGTATAGATCTTAATTGTGCTGCTGAAACCCATGTTAAACATCGCTTTTACATGGTTCAAACATGTTCAAACATGTTCAGAAATGTTCAAACAGCACGATGTGCCTGTCAAATCACCATGTTTGTTTGTTCAATCAGAATTTTTGTCGGTTAATCCTCAATTTATGTTGGTGAAGAATCGGTATCTCGGTACCCCATCCGCCCCCGCCTGCGACCCCATGCAAACGCCAAAGCCAACATCGCGAAACCGGTGGCTGGGAGCAAGAGGCTCAGCAGCGCCTTCGATCGAAAAACATGAAGACATGGAAATCATGAGAAAACATGACCTTTTTAAATCCTGAGATTTTTTCTGATTTTGGAGAATCAACTTGGGAACGTCTGGAAATTTCATGTTGAGTGTTGTGTTCAAAGGGGAAGCTACTGGAAACCATGGTTTGCAAACCTGGTTTCACGGTTGACTCATGGTTAAATCACACGAAATCATCTTGGAATTCTTGGTTAAGATCTTGGTGAAAAAACTCCATGGTTCGACTCTGTCAAGGTATAAATTTCGATGTTCCCCTAAGATTTCACATGACATCACATGACCCCTGGGTCCTAAAAATGATTTCTACTACTGGACATGGCCTAAGTCTTACGGTTGGGCGCATGCTTATGGAATCTCACTGTGATATAGCCATACAAATGTCGGGGAAACGGTTCGAAATGACTCGTACTTTCCCTGAGGCTTAAAGCATCATTTGTTGGGGTGGTTGGGGGGTCAACCACAAAACCATTTGAAACTAAACACACATAGAAATTGGTGTGAAAATAGGGTACGAGAACATCCGGTCGCTTAGAAATTTTCGTTCATCCAGTTCTGGAACATATGGAACCCGTATGGAAGCCGATACTTGGGCCACTTCCAGTACAACAAAATCACCACGACCACATCTTCAGTCCGTGTCATTTAGCCGAGCCAATTGGACCATATTAGTACTTGTATGGGAGCATTTGTTATAATTATATATTATAATCTAATGGCTTCAGGCATCTCCGGGCAATCAATTAGAACTTTTCCGTCCAGTAGTATTCATACAAACCACTTACAGTAACATTAGTTTTGTTCTCCTGTTTGTCCGAGCGCTACGGTCAACTATAGGGCATGACATGGCACGACCAAGATCAATGGCCTCCTAGAGGGTTGGTATCAGCACATGTCTTGATGTTCTTCTTTCCCTCCACCGAGGATGGGCCAAAATGATAAAAACAAATAAAAACTGGAACATCATCACCTTTTTTCTCTGTTAAGAATCACCATTTCTTGGCCTTTCAAGCTTGTTGACCTGGAACGCTCCCAGCCTCCGGGTTGAGAGATCCAGTCTCGCCACGGAGGAACAAGGCCGCTGGCTTGGCTGACTTTGAGGCCGCTGGCTTTGCTGACTTTGAGGCCGCTGGCTTTGCTGACTTTGAGGCCGCTGGCTTTGCTGACTTTGCTGGACTGCCTTCTGCCTGGCCAGGCCCATAGCTATGTGAGATGAGCCTCAAATATCATGGAATACCATGGATGTGTCCAAAAAAAGCCTTGCCGCTTTTACATCTGGTTGGTGGTTGACCTACCCGGACCTACCCCTCTGAAAAATATGAGTTCGTCAGTTGGGATGATGACATTCCCAATATATGGAAAATGAAGTTCATATTCCAAACCACCAATCAGACATACTTTGTCAACATGGTTCTGCCATCACTGCCATGGGGAAAAGACCTCTGTGCCTCCTGCAGGGCGCTTTGGATCGACTTCTCGCGCTCTTTGCCCTTGGTCTTCGCCTCTTTCTCCAAGCTGCGTCCACGGTCCTCCACCTGATCGGAGCAAAACATAGGTAAATATGGGAAGGTAAAATCAAGGAAACTCCTGGAAGAAAACTGAGGTACAATTATGTACTAGAATATAGTTATAACATGTTATAACATGTTATAACTATAAATAACTGTCAAAACATGCAAAGTTATGATCGTTATAGCTGCTTCGTGCAAAGTGGAGAAGTATTACCCTATATTTCAAACCTGTTGAATTATCATCTACAAACTTGTTCATATCTATCCGGCTTACCAGCTGAAATCGCCGGAATGCAGGGAACAACATAACATATACATGTCAATGTGATAATCTCGCAGAAAATCTCGCAGATTGGCACTGCAAATATATCTCTGCCCATATCTGCCCTATATAGCAAGCTCGGCCACCGTGTTTGCGTCGCCTTGTCCTCAACCTTCTCAAAGAAATGCTCCACCACATGTTCAGCATGCTCCCCAAACCTCGGCGCAAGATGCGGCCATGATCCAGGAAGTGACAGGGATCCGTATGGTTCCGTGTAATGTCGAAGCTATAAAACACATAATGACCACCATCTGAAAATCATTGGAAATCGGGAAATGATACGAATTTCTGACTCAATTCCGATTTAATCGAAATCTTCACCATCAGGGGTCGCCTCATCTCGGCTCGGTTGAGCTCCCCGACTTCTCGGCCTTTCCGGACAAGCCTTCGGTGCTTTTCTCGGCCCGTCCGATGTTGCCCTCATACTCCGACTCCGGCTGACCGGCCTCCGGATCGCTGAAATGCAGGGGAGGATCCCCAAAATAGATGGTTTATAATGGAAAGTGCCATTAAAATGTTTGTTGATGGGGCATTATGGGAAGATTTGCTGGGATATAGATGCCTTCAAAGCTCTTATAGATATGCTTGTTGATTGGTCATAATGGGAAGATTTGCATAGATTTGCTGGGATATAGATGCCTTCGGAGCTCTTATAGATATGTTTGTTGATGGGGCATGATGGGAAGATATGTTGGGATTTTGATATAGATGCCTTCGAAGCTCTTATTTGATATATTGCTTGTTGATGGGGCATGATGGGAAGATTTGCTGGGATATAGATGATGCGAAGCTCTTGTAGATATGTTTGTTATGGGGCATGATGGGAAAAATTGTTGGGATATAGATGGCTTCGGAGCTCTTCTAGATGTGTTTGTTAATGGGGCATGATGGGAAAATGTTGGGATATAGATGGCTTTGGAGCTCCTATATAGATATGTTTGTTATGGGGCATGATGGGAAGATTTGTTGGGATATGAAATTTACCCAGATTATCCCATGACCTCCATAAAAACCTCTCACGACCACCATTTTCATCAATCCCTGAGGTATGTCAGCGCCTTTCTGCCAAAATGCTCCACTTTCCTGGCAATTTTCATAGCCTCAGCTCTCAACTGCTGTCAAGGGAGATGTCCACTGTAGCCGCTAGCCCTCTGGTCACCAGCCAACTGGCGGTTCACAACAATGATAGGGAATTATAATTTATGATCGGGGGTGAAACTGGTAATTTAACCGCTAAGTCGCATCAAGTTTTTGACGTCAACATGTCCTATGTGGCAGGTTACAATTTTCACTTAACAATGGTAAGATAAGAACGCCTTTTGAACATGAGTTTACATGCCACCTGCAGAAACACAGAGACAAACACACGCATTGCATCGCTATGACATTCCACAACTTAAAATCAGACCATTTCTTATTTGATTGGCGTGACATCAAGAAACCGCTTCTCTTTGTTTCCATTTTTCTTGATGTCGCTATTATGATTATTGTATAACTTCCGCTACTGCTTGCAAAAATACCTCATACATCCTACTCCAAACACCTTCTGAAATTGCATTAATTATCAGATTTCGCTTTGGTTTTTGACGCTTCCCTAGAGTCTAAACACATTTCAGAGACCATTTGCACTATGGACCACTATGGCATGTGCACACGCTGCACCCAATATGCTTAGGTTGGACAGAGTAGTCACTTCTGCTGCCGAAGGACAGTAACCGCCATCACCACCATCAATAGTAATTAAACATCACAGCAGTCAGACACAAAAACACTTCAACATGTACATCGTATCTATATTATTATACGTTCATATTAAATAAATATGAATACACAGGATACACATAGAACCACCATGAACCACCACATCGCTGGGAAAGCAGAACCACCCCGATCCCTAAGGGCATGGCCATGTGGGCATCCTTCTGAATCGAATGCCTTGGATTGATTTTCCGTAGAAATTTCACACTGTGAAAGCATTTCAAACACCTAAAATCCAGTCTTGGGATTTTGAACCCGACTGCTTTTGTTGCTGAAATCTCTGTTGTGTTTCTGCCTCCGGCAATCATGGCAATGGAAAAACCCCAGGAAATCAAATGATTTCAGTAATTGTTGGATCAACATGGATCAACACATGCACTATGACTAGTCCATTCTCCAACCTGGCGACTGGAGATTTCCCATGGACCTCTCTCCTTGGGATTTTCCGTGTGCCAGGGTGCATCATGTCCTGCGCCTTGTCCTTCTGTTCCGTTCGCAGCTCATGGTATTTTTTCTTCATGGACTTGGCCACCTGTTTCGACAACTTCTGGATCTCCTTCGACAGTTTCTTCAAGTCCTCGGAAGGGAACTTGGGGGATTTTGTCACCATGAAATTGGGTATACCCCCCAGTGATGATTAACAGTTTGCTATGGTATAGGTGGTTCAAGTTGTAGCTTTGTAGGGCTAAATCTAGGTTCTACCTTACAACTAACATATAGCCCCTGGAAAACGCACATCCTAAGAGTAGTACAGAGCCATTGAGTCTCCGAAGCCTTATTTGAGATAGAAATGGGCCAAGTTGCTTACGGACAATAATTCGGAACTTGGGCTACGAATCCCCAACAGCATTCAGCTACACCTTGGAAAATCTTGGAGACCCAGGGGGGTTATGTGGGATGATCCTCCAAATACCCTCGTCTTCAAGATTTGCCAAGCAATCCCTTGACCCCTTGGTGCCTTCGCAGCCACGTAAGCGTCGCCGGCTTTTGGGAGTTCCTTAGCACTGCAGGAGCCGCGGTAATGATGATTCAGCTACTGCCAAACCAGGCCAAGATCCAAGGTATATACATTTAAGTGTGTGTGTGTGCGCATAAATAAAAATACAATTTAATGCATGCAATTTATCAACCTATGTATCTAATCTATATTCGATCATTCCATCCCCACCTAATCTATCTCCGTCCGCAATCTACCAACTCTAGATGTTGATCAAGATGCTACAATCTTTGTCTGCCACACCGCCCCACAAAATCTAAGATGCCTGTGGATCATTTAAGCTAGTTACCTTCCTCTAAACTAAGATGAATGTAGAAAATCCGCCATTTCTAGATCATTTTTCAAGGGAAACCAGAAACTTTCCAATTTGTTCTATGTTTACCCCACTGCTTCTTTCGAAACTAAGCTTCGTCCAACTTCTTGTCGAACTCCGAGAGCATGGAGTCCTTCTGGTCTTTAAAGTCTTCCACGGCTTCATGCCTTGGTATCAACGGCAAATTACACATGTCTGGAGTCTGGGTGATAATTATTCCCGGCAAGAAACCCCAAACAGTGTTGCAAGAACATGAACCAGAGATTCCAGGATAGATTCTGCAAGTTCCCTTTGCAAAGATCTCTGTAAAAGATTGTGCGCAAGATATCCTTGACACGTTCTCTGTGGAAACTGCTGTGCAAGACCGTGACCCCTTTGTAAAGATTTGCAGAGAGGATCTCTGTAAGAGATCTCAAAGTAAGATATCTGTTCAAGCTCTCTAGTATGAGCTCTCTGAGCAAGATCTCTGTTCTCTTCACCACGTCTCTGTACAAGATCTCTATAAGAGGTCTCTTGGCAAGATCTCTGAAAAGTTTAAAGGCTCTTGGAATATCTCGGTGAGAGATCTCTTGGCAAGATCTCTGTAAGAGACCTCTTGGCAAGATCTCTGCAACAGATCAATATGCAATGTCTCCGCGCAAGATCTCTACGAAAGGTGTCCAGGCAAGATCTCCGTACAAGATCCCTATACTGTACATGCAATGTCTGTGTACACAATCTCTAAAAGAGGTCTCTTGGCAAGTTCTTTACAAGCTCCCTATAAGAGGTCTCTTGGCAGGATCTGTTTCAGAGATCTCTGCACAAGCTCTCCATAAGAGGTCTCTTGGCAAAATCTCAAAAAATCTCTGTAAGAGACCTTTAGGCAAGATGTCTGAACAAGATCTCTATAAGAGCTCTCTGTACTAACTAGATATCTAGAAGATGTCTCCGCGGCAAGATCTCTGCGCAACCTTTCTATAATAGAGCTCCTTGCCAAGATAACTGCACAAGATCTCCTTGAGCACGGCCGGTAAAACGAGAAGAGAGGTCTCCAAGATCAAGTTTCGTTCGAGACTTCGTTCGAAAACGGAAGATGAAGGAACTTTTTTTGCAGTAAGGGTCACCAAATTTGCCGGACATTCCGGAGGCCAAATCAAATGAACATCAGACCTTATACGTTACCGTAAGAACCCCAAGTGACTGTGGCCGCACTGTTTGGGGAATAAAATGCATGATCACATTGGCTTTTCTCATGGGATTGTTATATGCTAGCATACATGGATACACTACATTATATATACATATATATATATATATATTTTTCAATTAAACATAATTAAACCGTGCATATCAACGTATGCAAACACAGATTGAGAAACATTAACATATGAAGTTTCCAGTGATGCTCTGAGATTACCCCCTATCAAATGAGTGTATCACTTTTTTCTCTGTGATATCCTTGGGTAATATGATGATCAAATGGATTGAAAAATGTATATAGGCATCAATAGTTATATAGATGTGCGTATATACTGCATATAATTATGAAATAATTCTAGGTCATATATGAATATATGTCTGTAAAACATGTGTATATATATGTATATAATATATATGTGTATATATGTACATGTATATTGTGCAAACAAACTATACATAGTTATACGTACATACATGTGCAATATTATATTTATACATGTTGATACATGTATATCATATAACATACTGCTGTGTGGAATCTGGTCGTTTGGTGAACCTAGTCAAAGACCATTTCAAAACACTATTGTGGCTGCATCCAGCTGTAAACTGGTCTATACCAACAATAAAAACACATTGATTGATGCATTCAGATCAATACACATATTATATATAGATATATATATATATATATATTATATATTATATTTATGTTGAGCTTTTCACCGACTATGTGGCACAATGGCTATGATTATATAACATGTGTAATGACCATGTTATACATACACATACACAACACCAAAAAAAACATGTCCACACGTGAGAACATAATATAGACATAATAATATACATACACAAAATACATGTATTCATTTAACCTACTAGGTAAGGAAACAAACGTACACTAGTAGTCAATATACGTAATACTACGTAAGAATGATATTTAATGATTTAACAAGAATTAGTAATAATAATACATAATAGTAATAATAACAATAAAACATCCATTTGCCCTCCAACTCTGCCAGGTCACTCGATCTTCCCAGCGATGTTGTCCGCCTCATCCGGCTTGCTGGCCGACTCTTCGATGCCCTCGAAACAACAACGCTGACTCTTGGTGTGGAAAATGAGGGATTTCAGCAGCAACAAATCGATGAAAACAATGACTTAAATGATCTTAAATGTGTATTAGGCCATAAAAAAAATTATAAAAAAACTGATTTCAATAATCAAAAATCGATGAAGACATGGAAAAAAAAAACAGCAGAAGAAAATGATTTAATTACTTTACTTCGTTTGATCCCCACCATGACATTTATACATTTTCTTACTGGCAAATCTTCTGGCATTCTATCTGACATATCTTCTGACATTCTATTTGACATTCTATCTGACATATCTTCTGGCATTCTATCTGACATATCTTCTGGCACTCTATCTGACATATCTTCTGGCATTCTATCTGGCATATCTTCTGGCATATATTCTGACATATCTTCTGGCATTCTATCTGGCATATCTTCTGGCATATGTTCTGGCATATATTCTGACATATCTCTGGCATTCTATCTGGCAAATCTTCTGGCATTCTATCTGGCATATCTTCTGGCATTCTATCTGACATATCTTCTGGCATTCTATCTGGCAAATCTGATGCATTCTATCTGGCATATCTTCTGGCATATATTCTGACATATCTTCTGGCATTCTATCTGGCATTCTATTTGGCATTCTATCTGGCATATCTTCTGGCATGTCTTCTGACATTCTTTCTGACATTCTTTCTAACTTTCTTCTGCACATTCTTTGTCCCATATCTTCCTACATGAGGTCCGGCAGGGAACACTTGGCGTGGATACTCGCGGTTGAGGTCCGGCAGGGAACACTGGGCGTGGATGGTCGGGGTTGAGGTCCGGCAGGGAACACTGGGCGAGGATGGTCGTGGTTGAGGTCCGGCAGGGAACATTGGGCGCGGATGGTCGTGGTTGAGGTCCGGCAGGGAACACTGGGCGTGGATGGTCGTGGTTGAGGTCCGGCAGAGAACACTGTGGATCGCGGGTCGCAGTTGAGCAAGGACGACGAGGACGACGAGGACGACGAGGAGGACGAGGAGGAGGAGGAGAGGAGGACGAGGCAGGAGGAGGCGGAGGAGGAGGAGAAGGAGGAGGAGAGGAGGAGGAGGACGAGGAGGCAACTGACATAAAATCTAACAACCCTCACCTGGCAGGTGGGGAAATAACAAAAAAATGGTCAAAGCAACAGACGTAGTTTTGTTTTTGTGTTTTTAAGCAGCATAAAAGTGTGTGTGGATTGTGTGTGTTCTTGACGATTCTACACCTCATAGGCAGCCGCATTGGATCAACGTAAAATTGGATTTGACATGGTTTGACCAGCCAAAGAACAGTTTTCAAATGCGGCTTTAAGGAACAAACAATGTGATTTAAGCAGCACAAAATGCTGGGGATTGAACATGATTGAACCAAAAAACCTGCGGATTTGACCAAGAAACATTGGGATTGCACGAGCAAACATGGGGGTTGCACCGTTGCACCAACCAAAGGGGCCGAACCAGGAATTTTGATCTCACCAGCGGTGAGTGATTTGACTGATCCGACAAATTGCTATGGCATTATTGTGATTTACCATATTTGACAAGTCAAGATCCGGGAATCCTTGTTGGTTGTGGGTTCGGGTGGTGTTTCACCACTGATGCTTGGTGGGTTTGCATGTCTGAGATTGTCTTGGGGCCAGATTGATGAAGCGAGGATGAAGCCACAATTCCAGGGGTGCCGACCCCATGAAAGATGCATATGTTCTTCAGCATATATGTGTATATGTATGCAACTAACTAAACAAACACATATAAATATGTACCCATATGACACTAGTTAATTATGTTTGTATACATCAGCTCTCACAACAACAATACTCATAAATATATATACATATATATACATACTTTTATATGGCTGTGAATCAAAACCCTGGCACCCTAGGTACTCAATACACTGGTTAATGGATGTTTATCGAATAACATGCTGCCGCTGCCTCCAACCACTTCTGCAGCTCCTGGTGCCACCAAGGCAAGGATCAGGACTTTAATGGTTTTTTCATGTATATAGAGTTGATTTATGCTAGTTAAGTGAATAAACATAACTCCCAAAACTGTTGGCTCTGCGTTTTTTTTCCATCCACATATATCAACCATTTTTTCATTGATGTGCCATAAACAAAGGTTCACAAATACAACTGGGGGGCACCACCTTGATGTAGCAACATCCTCTGGGCAACTCAAATGCTCCAACCGGCTGGGAAGATGGATGCAAGGGGTAGCTGCGAATGACAATCCGTAGTTCATCTTTTTTTACTGCGAATTGCAGTCCTTCAGCGTTTCATTTCCATCTTTCAAGGCCTTTGCGTACTCATGTTCTGCCTGGCAACGCTGCTTGAAACCCAAATCCATGGGGTTCGGAGCATGATGGGGTTACTGGTTGTCAATGATTCAAGGTTATTTGATGGATATATAATATATATATATATTTATAATACCTATATATAAAGAGATATAAAGAGGTTCGTGACCTGGAAATTGTGGTTTTCTAGGTTTTTAAGAAGTTTTAAAGGGTGTAACACGAGCTGCTGCAACAAACTGTGACACTACTCATCAGCTTCTTTCTCTGCCAGCTGGGCATCATTCACCGCAAAGCAAAGTCTCCGGTCCATGTCCATTCAAAAAATGATTTTCCCATATGCCATAGGGGCTTTGCTTATGTCTGTTGGCAAATCTCCCGCTCTCGTCTGTCAAATCGCTTACCGTCAATGAACACATCCATATCTCTGACAATCAAATTCCAATAAATTGCATGTGCTGGGACATCATCGATGAGAAATCACAAATCTTATGGATAAATGTCATGTATTCAAATGGATAAATCACCAATGGACATCAATGGACCGCCCGTCCGCCATCCACTGCCTCCTCCAAAGCCACCTGGCTTTGTAAGACTCTGATAGGAATGGTAAAACAAAGGAGGATATAAGGATGTATGTTGCTTATATTATGAACACATACACGTATAGATATCATAAACTCAATATCTTAATTTCATTATATATATATGTATATTCGTACATGCATACATACATACATACATACATTACATTACATTACATTACATTACATTACATTACATACATTACATTACATTACATTACATTACATTACATTACATTACATTACATACATACATTACAGTAATTACATACATACATACATACATGCATACATACATACATACATACATACCATACAAAACAATACATTACATTACATACATTACAATACATTACATTACATTACATTACATTACATTACATACATTAATACATACATACATACATACATCCATCTATCCATACATACATACATACATACGTACATACATACATACATTACATACATTACATACATACATACATACATACATACATACATACATGCATGCATACATACATACATACATACATACATCATTGCATACATACATACATACATACATACATACATACATACATACACACACATACATACATACATACATACATACATACATACATATATTACATTACATTGCATTACATTACATTGCATTACATTACATTGCATTGCATTGCATTGCATTGCATTGCACTACACTACACTACATTACATTACATTACATTACATATATACATACATATGTTAAATACATTACATACATTACATACATACCATACATACCATACATACCATACATACCATACATACCATACATACATACATTACATTACATTAAATTACATTAAATTACATTACATTACATACATACATACATAGATCATATATTATATTGTAGTTGTTATGTTCATTGGTTCGTTTCATTCCACCAACAAATGGAGGGAGATTCGGTTGATATCGGGGCACATGAAATGGAGCTGTGACTGAGCCAAGTGACGAGTTTGCCAGCAAGGTCCAACAAGCATGACAAGCATAGGGATCTAACCGATGAATTGCTGTAAGTACATAGCCAACAGTGCTCATTGTGACTAAAATGAAGGTACAACCAAGAAAAATAAGGGGATGTCTAGTCTATCCCATCTGCAACACGAATTGGTTCCGCATTGGGTCCAACTCTGGATCACCCTGCTGCTGTTCAATAATCAGTTTGACCGGCACCCAGCCCAGCAAATCCAGCTAGCGAGAGAAGTGCGATGCTAAAATGTTAACCTGTACAATGATCTGCCATCATCTATATTAGTGACCCTAAAAGAAGAAGCAACAATGTGGGAAATGTACCCTCTGGTAACATAGCTATTGAAAATGACCCAGTCGAAATAGTGGATTTTCCCATTGAAAATGGTGGATCTTTCCATAGCTTTTGTATGTTTACCACAGGCTAATCCACTAATCCACTCCTCATCTGCCGGCTCCACCTTTGGGGGCACTGTGGTGGACTGTGCCGCCAGCTGCGCAATGAAGGTCCTAAGCCACAAGCCACGACGGACGGGATGGTCAGCGACTCTATGATATTATACCATCTTGATATTACAACCATGGTTTATAAACTAGCTATGTCAACTGGGGTAATAGTATATAATAACCCTATCATACCCTGGGTAGGTTATAAACCATGGACCCAATGATCCAATTACTGGGATACACATCCCAGAAATAGTGGGAAGTTTCACAAACAGTGCAATTTTTGTACTCTCAACTAGGATATGACAGAACAAAAAAACAAATAGTAACAAACATTTATGGCTTGTGAAACTGATCTAGATTCTAGATTTAGATTCAAAGTTTATCTTGGCCATCACCTGAGAAAGCATATCCAAAACATGTTGGTGAACCACGCATGGCTGTGAGGCTTCCCGCCTGCAATGAAACACTCCTGGAGTCAAGAACAGGTAAAATAACCAATAGCCCGAAAAAAAAAACTCACTAATGGGTAATAGACACACTATTGCTGGCTACATAGGTTGTTTCGTTCAAACCTCAAAATTTGACTGGATGAGAAATGGCCTTGTATATATATATATATAAATAAAAATAGATATATATATATATGTGTGTGTGTGTTTCTATGCATATGATGTATATCCAGCTTCACTTCTTTAAGCCCTAGCTTATGTTTGATGCCTCAACCAGAGCCAATTTGTTTCAATGATGCCGAACATTCAGTGCAAATCCCAGGCGAGTTGCGGGAATTTAGGTGGTCAATTCCAAATTACAGGTACCCTGGAAAATTACTGGATGATTTTTGCCAAACTTGCCAAGATCATCTGACCAACAATTGCCAACCGTTCGTTTGCCAAAACAAATGCGCAAATCAGTGCGGTGCCCTCCTTTCTTAGCAGTTTATGGTTTTTATCATGTTTTATCCAACGCTTAAAAAAATGTTGCAAGTTAAAAGTTTTAAATTATAAGCAATGAGGCTTTGCTTGCTGAACTCCTCATTTTTATTCATGTTTCATGTCCTCCTTGCAGCAGTCGAGTGACGCGACGAGCACGGCTCGCATGGCGAGGGTTTGGTCGAAGGTCGTAGCTGAGCAGAGATGAGCCAAAACAGCTGCAGCAGATCTCGTCACTTTAGCATAAAACATGTATATGATACACATACACATACGCACAGACACATACATATGAGTATATATGAGTATATGCATATAGTATGAACAATTATGAATATGCCCTAGCAAATAATTAATATCCTTTTTACACCAAGCCTTCTACTCGCCAAGGTTGACCTAGTCCTTCTACCGTTCTTGATAGTGCGGTAAACCCAATACTGAACCATCCCCGACTTACCAACACTGAACCATTCCATATACTATTGCCGCATTGGTTTTACCACATTTAAACTATTTACATATACAGTATACATATATTGTATATATATATATATACATGCTTTACTTGCCATCCTTCCAACTGACATTGAGAAATGTCAATCTTTCATCTTTCAGCAGTCTTCCAAGCCCCCATTTGGTGGGGTCGTTCATGTTAGTTGGGGGTATATTCCCCAATGGTTTCTGTCTGGTAATCAACACACAAATGACTATGAAAAGTCACCCTGGTATCGAATTAAATGGGCCATCTACATGAAAAACCATAGCTATCGTAGTTTACTGTATGGGAAATATTTCCGTATTTTTCTTGCTATCCCGCTATCCCCAGTAATACCCAAAAAAACTCCCATGAAACACCATAAAATCCCAGACTCATAATAAAATCCACAGATTTTTGTCATTCAAACTTGATGATTCATGGTGATTTACCCATCAAAAATGTTGATTTTCCACCATGACATCACCAGAAAGTCACATGAAATCACCACAGAAACTCCCCGGGGAAAGTTGGCGACCGCCGAGCAGCGACCGCCCACCGTGGCATCTGCGGCGAGACGTTCGGCAACACGCACCAAGCCTGGGCGAGATTCGGAGCGATATGTTTCTGAAAATGGGTATTCTGGCGCCAGAAATGCTGGGACTTTAAGGTATCTTCTGGAATTTTAAATGATTTCAGTGATACTTAATGTGAATTGATACTTAGCTCAAACATGGAATAATATACATAATATATATATATACATATATGTACTGTATATATATATATATACGTGTGTGTGTATGGGGCAATGGATGATGATTTAATGGGAAAACTGACCAACAGCTATGATACTATGGGATACTGTTAGCCAGGAATTGGGGACTAGAAACCACCAAGCAACAAAGCAACACCAAGATGGGTTATCAAAAATGGCTTATGTGCCCCCATCCCACTGCAGACATATCCATTATCCGCAGTTCTCCGCCAGAAATGCTATAAATGAGCATAGTCAAGAACCAATTAATATATCACTATTACTAATCTACATGTTATATATAAATATATACCTACATATATATACATATATATATATATATATCGATAGATAGATAGAATATATATATATGTATATATGTAGACATATGTAGACTATATATATATATATATATAGGTATCGTTTTGGGGGCCCTTCTTCTACTTCTGAAATTCTTTGGAGAAACTGTGCTAAAGGAGTTCCAGCATTACCTTCCGCAGTGCCCCGGTGCCTTCTGCGACGTTCTCTACCTTGTCAACTGGATTCAAGCCAAGCAACATTGGAGTTTGGAAAGAACAAAGAAGGGGGCAAGCAATAGTTCAGATGCAAAACCTGGAGTATTTGAATTCCCCTCAAACCACCCAATTTTGCGAATACATAATGGCCTGACATCTGTCCAAATAGGTTCAATAAGGTCGTGTCATATGAAAAGGAGCTGGGAAGAGAACAGCAACTTGGACGGATGATTCCTGAATTATTATTGTTGAGCGATGTGGCGAGACATTTCGGCTATAATTGAATTCCACAAACTAAAATGTGTTTCATTGAATATCACCTACACAAAGAATCCAAATATATATATATATATAAATACACACACATATATATATATACACAGTATATTATTATTATTATTATCAGATATTATCATTCTTATTATTATAATTATATATATATACTTCTAGATTCTATAATTATACCCTCCGGTACTCAAACGTGGCAATGGAAAATCGACCATGCAGTTCAATGATTGCATGAAAAACGACCATGGATCATCCCAGGCACATAGTTAGCGTCGATCTTGGGCGGGTTGGCCACTTTATCACCTGCCAAGATGGGCATTGCTGATGGGATTTATAATGATCCTGTCAGAATCTATCAATTCTATTTTTTTGCTGATTGGCAGGCCACGGCCACCTATCTGAAACACGAAAATCATTGGGGATTATCATGGATTATCCCATTTCCGAAATGGTTGAAAATGCAGCACAATAAAACATCATAAACCACAAGCCAAATAAAACGGGGTACTTTGCCATTGGAGGTTTTGAGTTCAAAGTGATCGGAATGAAAGAACATGAAAGAACTTTCATGTTGATCATGTTGATCTCAACACATCCAGTAAAGTACGCTGCTAGAAGGTTTAATTAAATGATTTCATGGGGTGTAACACCACGTCATGACTTGTACCAAGCACCTGGTGGGCATCGAATGCGACCCCTACCGTTCTCCATTTCCGGGCATACCAACTGCGTTCCTATGTATTTTGTTGGCTATCATAGCTGCACCATGTTGAACCACAGTTGTATCGTCTTGTATCTTTGAATCCTGCTGGATGCAGTGGGCAAGCTGCGTTGCAAAAGCCAAGATGCTGATATCCAGTGAAAGTCGGAAGGGCAAGCGTCGGTTCCAGTATTGGTCGTCATCATCCCCATAGACCTCATTCTGGGCCGATCTGTGCCTAAATTGATGATAACTCTTGGGTAAGTGGGGGGGCTTGCTGAAAAATGACGCCTTGCAATATGACCTCGTTAGTTTTCCCTAACAAAGAAGGAATCCTCTGGGCAGTTGGGATATATGGGTAACTATTTCCTACAATTCGGGTACTCGTAAATCATCCGTTCGATGGAAACGTCCATATGATGATATATGCAGGTATCAAAAGATGTCATCAGTTCACATCACCGTCCATCACATCACTTCAGGCGGGAATCATCTCAGCCGATGTCCATGATGGAACAATCCTCTACTATTTGGGGGTTTCCATAAATGAGGGATACCGGATACCCCACAACCGTTGGACGGTTTAAAATGGACGATTTCGGGGTACTCTTAGGAACAAAACAAACGTGATGTAATTGCACTCTCAACCCTGGACTACTGACTGCTTGTTTTTTTTGGGGGGGGTGGTTCCACGTACGTAGCAAGTGGCAAATATCACATGTCACTAACATCCTTCAAAAAAACATGCAGTACAGACTGTTTCGCTGGAGATGATGGAGTTTGTGTTGTGCAACTGCAGTTTCTGATGCCCAACATGTTCTATTCCAATAATGTCGTGCTTTAGTCATTAGTAATTAGTCGGTTTCAATTTCCTTGACAGTTAAGAAAGAACTTACTGTATATATTATTGTCTTTTCAGCCGGGCTTGGCCGGCCAGCGAGAGCACCATGACGAGCGCCACATAACATAATCACCAGGTACTAAAGTACTAAAACTCCATAATCCATAACCAATTAACCAAGATATTTTCCTCATGGTTTCCACTTATGGTTGAATCTGTCCACCGCGAAGCGTTCCGGGGACCCGTGCCCCACCGATGCGCACGCTCACAGTGCGCATCGTTTCGGAGTGCTTTTGCAAAATGAACCTCGCCACACTCCGAACTCGTGGGGTACCATGTCCATGTCGGGTTCTATCAATCCTCGCCACACTAAAGTACGCTTATCCTCGGGATAAAATAAAACCATTTCCCCGTTCCAAAAAAACACGCCAACTCAAATTTGTTCGGCAAAACAAAACGGGTCCCAGCATGACACGTTTTCAATTAGGCAAATTGTTCGGCAATACAGTATACAGTACTGAATATCCAGAGTCCCCAAGAGATCCCAAGAGTATGTTTGGCCTCAATTTCATTATCATGTCGAGTATGTTTGAGGGCGTGGTGATTAGCATGATGTCAACACTCTCCGACTAATTACTGACAACAAAAAAGAAAAAGAAGAAGGATCAGGATGAGGATGAAAATAGGGATAATGTTGATCATGGGAATGAGCTTGAGGATGGCGAAAAGAGCACTGATGCACTTTAATCGTAAGAGCGAACAATAATTTGACGCGCTAATGATAACCATAAATAAGCCCACGTACACCCCGAGAAAACCAAATGGAATGTGGATGAATGTGGTAGGGGATGGGAGAATGATCTCCACTGACCTGACGGATCGACGACAAACAATGGCATACACCTGCAGACAAAAAAAACGGGTCTTGAAGTGATTTTAATGTCCATTAAATCGTTTCCTATGAAGACAGTCATATCAGTCATGTCTTTCTGTGCTTGGTGCCTCTTCGGTGCTTCAAAATACATCAAAATACTTGATGCCAGGCCCGAGTGGTTAATGAATTTGAACGTCCAAGGAAAAATGGCTCATGCCGCTTGAACCATGCACGACCACTAATTTTTGTGTCTCAATTTCATTGGTCAATAATCTTGACCCATACCCATACCCATACCATCCCATACCCATAAGGCAATGCTAAGCAAAAGAACGGCTGCGCCAACAGACTGGCATATGTCCTCAACAGTCCCAACTTCCTATACTTTGTCTGCTTCAGCCGCAGTCCAAGTTCCCACCAATCAACTTGTTTCCCTCAACCATGGGGTGATTCTTTTCATGATAGATATCAGGAGGATCGACCAACAGAAACTGTCATTCATGAAGCAAAACAACCAGAAACCTTCACCTGGATATGTCCAACGTATGAAATTCTCAATGAATCAACTGTAGATGTTGTACCCACGAAATAAACCCCACTTACCCATAGTTAGCCTAGTGAAATAAACCAACTTACTGTAGCCTCTCGAAATCAAACCATGGCTTGCGGCTTGCTGGGGGGAAAACACATGCGTTTCAATGATTTTCATGATTCCCTATTTCTAGAGGATTTTCCATTGCCATGCTTGGTTGCCGAAGGATGCATACGCATGCACAGCAACATCATACAACATCATAATTTCAAATCGTGTGCTGGTCAAGTCAAGTCCATCCCCGACGGATGGAATTCTTAGGGTCTACAGCCCCCATTCCAGCCAATATGCTGGCTGAAAGGGTAGGTACCAAGACTGAAAGCCATGGGCTGGAAACATGACTCCAACCCCAAAAATTTAGCCAAAGTAGGAAAAGTACTAATATGTTCCCGTGGCTGAAAACTAGGGGATGTGAGGTTACCTTGCATCTTACAACTTACATGTTTCAAGTGGCTGAAATCATAGGCACCTGAGATGCAGGCCAACACACGCACATCCTGTTGAATCTTTCACATCCTGTTTTTGAAGCGTTCAACTTTTTTTTTCGAAAAAAACCTTGCATCTGAAGCTTTCAACTGTTTTTTCGAAAAAACCTTGCATCTGAAGCTTTCAACTGTTTTTTTCGAAAAAAACCTTGCATCTGAAGCTTTCAACTGGTTTTTCGACAAAAACCTTGCATCTGAAGCTTTCAACTTTTTTTTTCGAAAAAAACCTTGCATCTGAAGCTTTCAACTGCTTTTTCGAAAAAAACCCTGCATCTGAAGCTTTCAACTGTTTTTTTCGAGAAAACCTTGCATCTGAAGAAAAAAACCTTGCATCTGAAGCTTTCAACTGTTTTTTCGAAAAAACCTTGCATCTGAAGCTTTCAACTGTTTTTTCGAAAAAAAACCTTGCATCTGAAGCTTTCAACTGGTTTTTCGACAAAAACCTTGCATCTGAAGTTTTTTCGAAAAAAAACCTTGCATCTGAAGCTTTCAACTGTTTTTTCGAAAAAACCTTGCATCTGAAGCTTTCAACTGTTTTTTCGAAAAAAAACCTTGCATCTGAAGCTTTCAACTGGTTTTTCGACAAAAACCTTGCATCTGAAGCTTTCAATTTTTTTTCGAAAAAAACCCGCATCTGATGCTTGAAAAGCGCGCGATGGCTGGAAAGCTCGGATTCACCTCTGGAGTGGTTTGTCTCAACAAGTTCATGGTGCAACGGTTTGCTTTCTTGATGGTTTGTCTCAACAAGTTTTTAACTGTGGACAGCAAGTTCACTTACAGGTTACATGTCGAAACCTCAGACCCCAGGATTTCATCTCAACAATTTCATTGTTGGCAGCAAGTTCACTCGCAAGTTACGTGACAAAACCTTTCCAGTGATTTGCGGCTCCGGAGGGTCGAAAAGTAGGCTCGCTAAAGGGGCAGTTGCGGAGCCAGCTGGCCAGTTGAGAGATGACAAATTGCACGCCGTTGTGGCGCGAAGCACGTTTCCAAGCGAAAATGTACAAAACACCTGGGTCTCGGAGCACTTTTGGAAGTTGAGATGTCGAAAAAGTGCACGCCGTTGTGGCGCGAACCACATTTGCAAGTCAAAATGCACAAAACGCACCAGGTAGGGACCACTTTTGGGAGTTGAGAGGTCGAAAAAGTGTACGCCGTTGTGGCGCGAAGCATATTTCCAGGATTTCAACTCAACAAGTCCATTGTGAAACGATTTGTCTTGTTGATGGTTTGTCTCAACAAGGTCATTGTAAAACAATTATTTTCTCCCACGCTGACTTTTCAGGAATCCAATGACCTGAACACTGCAAAGTCTCAAACCCTAGGCCCTAGGATTTATTGCGCAATGGCTGGAAACTTGGGATTCACCTCTTGGTTGATGTGTCTGTTTTCCCAATGTTGTTGGATGAAAACTATGGATCTGAGGTCAGCATAGAAATATAAGGAATCGAGTAGAGCTGTGGCTGAAAACTGTGGAACCAACATAACATGAACACATGCTCAACTGCATCCTGAAACTCTATTTCTCAGAAATGATGCTATCTGGGGCTTGGCAGAAAACCATGGGTACAAGTGTCAGGTAACAGTTGCAGCTGGCTAATTTTTTGAGGTAGAGCTCCCCCCTTTTCAGCCAGGACCACCAGACGGGGATCAAGTCCCCATAGATCTAAAGTGCCAGATCTTAGTTTTAAATCGTGCTAACGTCCACACGCCTGGAGAAAAACAAAAAACATGAACTTTTCAAGTCATCAAGGGTTGAAAAAATCCCATTAAAGTTGTATAACCTAGCACAGCATTTTTTTAAACCAATTGATCTAACCTAGTTATCGGGGTCACCGTCCCGAGGCGGGCATGGAAGGGTTCATCGAACTGCTGCGTGCCTTCATTGCTAGCATTTGACATCTTGTGGATGTTGACATGTTGCAAATGTTTACATGTACGTTGTAGATTCTCTTCCATGTTCAAGGGTGGGAGGGTTGGGGGCGTCCGGCGTGTGTAATCACCTCCCTAACGACTTTAGGACGGTTGCAGATAAGGGTCAAATTTTCGTACGTCGCAACAGGTGGGGGAGTATACTAATTCGCGTCATTTGACATGTTGCTGGTTTTTAGATGTACGTTGGAGATGCTCGCTGATGTTCACCGGAAAGGGTGGGTGGGGCGGGTGGGGGGGGGTACAGTAAAACGAAGAATGGAAGCTGACGAAAAAGAACTGAAGAACAACATGAAAGCTTTGACAGCCGAAATTGGTGCGCTTCGCTGCGATTTTCTTTTTTGATGTTGATCTGTGAGATTCTGCCCAGAAACTGCTCCGCCATGGCTTTCGACAGGTCATAAGGTGAGCGTAAGGAGGTCAGGGGAGGGCTGGCAGCCGGATCCGTCTCCCCCTGGCCAGTGGCATATGGGAAACTGGAGGTACCTACCATGGAAATAAGGCCGATTTGTCAGGGCTATGTAACACAATGTAAGGGGATATATCCACCAAATATGATTTTATATGGTACAGTACCTTTACTTGAGGCCGGGGGTGGATGACGAAAGCTAGCGGGGTAGGAGAAAGAAGGAAGGGAAGACGTAGCTTCAGTGTCAGCAGGGAAATGTCGGTGGCGTTTCCGCGTCAAACCCTAAGTGAGGATGCTGACCCTCTAACAGCCGGAAATCTCCTCTCGGGAAGGCTCGGGGGGGACCAGGGGGGATCGAACCTGATGCCGATGATGACGATGATGATGAGGATGGTGATGATGATGATGATGAGGATGATCATCATGATGATGATGATGGTGATGGTGATGATGATGATGATGGTGATGATGATGATGATGATGATAACAAAGTTGATGACGATGACAATGACGCTGACACTGACAACGACGATGACGGCTGAAAATGGCAATGACGAAGACGATGACGATGACGATGACAATGGCGAAAACATGCGAAGACAATGACACTGACAATGACGACGATGATGATGATGATGATGGTGATGATGATGACGACGATGATGATGATGACGATGATAATGATGATGATGGTGATGATGATGATGATGATGATGATGATGTTGATGATGATGGTGATGATGATGATGATGATGATGCTCATGATGATGATGATGATGAAGCGGATGCGGCAAATGATCGGGATGATGGTGAGGAGGAGGATGATAAGGATGAGGAGATGATGATGATGATGATGATGATGATGATGATGATGATGATGCTGCTCATGATGATGATGATGATGATGATGATGATGATGATCACGATGACGAGAACGATGCCAACGACCATGACCATGACGAAACCGATGACGATGACGATGATGACGATGATGACGATGATGCTGATGATGGTGATGGTGGTGGGGTTGTGGGGGGGGGCCTTTCGCGTGAAAAATCACGTGATGTCCTTGAGCAGCCCCCGGAATACTTGCTAAAGCAAGAAGACTCCAGCTAGCTGACGCTAGCTTTCGTGATTTGAAGATCCTGAAATTCCCATTGAATAATTTGTTTCACTTTAATGGTTATGCAGCGTAGTATCTGGCACACTACCGCAAACCTAGCGCTGTAGGAGCCACGGTGCAGGGAAACCATTTCACTGCATACAGGACTCCGCCTTCTAATGAGATGAACATTCCATTGGGAAATTGACTGGGAAAAATTGAATTTGGTAGAATCTCAATCAACTTCAAAGACGTATTCGGCGAACTTCGGCAAAACATTGGAGTTAGCAGCCACCAAC